AAGACACGCAGAGACAAATACACAAACACGCAGACACGCAGACACACAGACGCAGCGACACAGACACAAACGGTTGGACACAGGCCACAGGCACGCACACACCCAGAGGCACACACATGCAGTCTTACAGACACAGACACACCAGGCAGACATAACGTGTGAGTTTTGACTGATCACATGAATGGCAACACCATTCTTTAGTGGGCGTGTGCCAGTACCAAACGACAAGGAAAACTTGGCGTCGTGGGACTTGCTGCAGACGCGCCCTACGTGCAGTTCAACAAGCACCTTGGACTCTGCACTCATGGAATGTTCCCCAGGTTGCGACTCTGAACTCGGTTATCGATTTTTAAAGGGCTTCGCCCCACACCAGCTATGCTGGCAAGATGGACAAAGAAAGAGACAGAGCTGAGGAGGCGGGGGATAGGGCAACCGCCGACAAGGCAAGGTCCGCGCATGTGTGCCCCCCCCCGCATCGCAGTTGTTGGCGTGGAATTTTCTTTCTGCTGGTCTCACGGCTCTTCCCATGCAAGGCGCAGGAATCTTTCTATGTCACATGTTGCACGAGCGTGTGGCTGCATCAGAGACGGCTGAAAACTAGGCATGTGCCGTTCAAAGTGCATCCTGCCTCAAGTGCATGGAGGAGGCCACAAATGTGGGGGCAGACCAGTCTAGCCGAGCCCAGCCAGGGCACGTTCCCCCAGAATCATCAGCAGTTGTATCCTCCACCAAGCTCCCCCGAAAAGTTCAGCAAACAAATTATTATGTCGAAAGCATGCGCTTCATGTGCTGATCATGCTACGAAAATCAACAAACGCATACAGTAGTCGACTGAACAGACTACCAAGCCATTCGAATGCACACGCAGACTACTGCAAGCCTGAGGAGGAAAACAAGCCAACCACATTCGCAAGGCTACATTAATTACTTTGCAATGTCGTGGTTGTCGCTTCAATTGCATGCCATCCATGCGAATGGACTGGGGACAAGTCTTTTATGCAATACAGAAGCATACCTGCACACACAAATAATATTCAGGTATGCAACTGTAAAGAAGCAGTGCGACGAGTTTGACAAATGCATGTTGGACACCTATCAGGGAAACAAATCACGTTAAAGTGTACCTCAAATCGGCATAATGTAAGAACGTGATTAGTAAACCCCCCTCTGATTAAAGACGCCTGGTTTTCCTAGCCGACTGCCAGCCAATACCACTTTACCTCCCCAAAAAACAACGATTAAAGACGCCCCCCTGCCTATCCAGCAGCAGCAACATCCTTTTGCTCTTGGCACAGCCTGCTCCTCTCACAAGTCTCCTGCCACATCCTCAACCCTTCACCCTCAACCCAAACCCTCAACCCTTCAGAGCCCTCAACCCTTCAAACCCTTCAGAACCCTTCAAAGCCAGAAACCCTCAACCCTCAAATCTGGCCTCAGATGAAAGGCCAACGCCAGCTGCCACCATGTACGCAAACCTCAAGGGCAAGCCTACTTCCTCACCTCTACCTCCCCACATGTGCACCTCCTCCCAGCTCGCCCTTTCTTGCATTCCCTTCCTCTTTCCTGCCTTCCTCAAACCTCCCCGCTTCCCACCAATCAGTCCAAGCAGCATGGCTGGGATCAGATCAGATGCATAACTTTAAGCCTAAGAGCCTCAAAAGGCCGCCGGAGCCTCAATTTCAAACATCAACTTCTCAGGCCTTAGATTATTAGGGGGGAGCTGCAGAAAATCCTCCAAAATCCGGTGTTCCCAAACCTTGTCAACCTTGAAGGGGGGGGGGTATTAATCATGTTCCTACATTACATTGGCCCCAGATGTATATCACAAGTGGCACACAGTCAGTTCGACAGTCATGCTAAATCACTCTGAATCACGCTTATTCATGCTGAACTGCGCCATGGTGATGGCTTAGTCGCGGAACCCGACATGTAATACAATGTAATATATACATAATTATATATATATATACACACATTCATGTCTCTGAGAGGCCTACAAATGAACGTCAGTAAATTAATCAACGTGGAGTCTCTGGGTACAGCCTAGACGTTGCGGATGGAGTCACCGAAGCTGCCGCAACGGCGATGATTTTTGTTCTTTCATTTATTTTCCGCAAGCCAGTGTGTTTATGCCATCCCAGGATTGTTGTGAGACTAAGTTGACACTTGGCGGTGCACAAATTAAGCGCACGCGCTCTTGCTTTCATGGTCTTCTCCGCTGCAATTTGGCTACAGCTGAAGGGTGGCTTGGTCGCCAAGTTGTGCCATCCGAAGTGAACATACCAACATGTTGTATACATTATACATAAATACATACACAAACATATTGTTCACTGTATATATATATATATATGTATATGTATATGTCTATATATGTATATATGTTTCTTGTTGCAATCAGCACACATTTTTCTTCTATTTTTTCGGAGCACCATGGCGCCTTCCAACAACCCTGCTCAGCTCCATGAGGAAGAGCTGCAGCGCTTCATGCAAAGCGCCACTCAGAGATCAATGCGTCCCAGAGCCACGCTTTCTCAAAACCCGGGTAGATGGCTGTGGGTCAAAGCCACTATCCAAGTTTGGGGTAGGTGCACCACCCAGTTGTGTCTACTATAGTGCGGATTGGGATGTTCACTGGGGGATACAGGGTTTTGACCCACAGCCAGATGAAGGTTAGTAAGGGAATTTTCCAAAATGGCTGCGGATATCCGCCTTCGCAAAGTTCTTGAAACATGGTTCTGGGTAGACCATTTTGATACCGGGTTTTGAGTATGACTCGGGTGCTCAGACTGAGCATGTCGCCGCAGGCACGGCGAGTGCGGAGCAATTCGAGTATTGAAGATGTTGGACAGCCATTTCTCCCTGTCATTTGATATAGCTCTAGGTTGATCGAGATCCTGAGCGGTTTGATCGCTTCATCGAAATGATCCGGGCCGTGATGGATCGCGAAGCAGATCGAAAGCAGCGTGACTTGGCCAGATGAAAGGCTACGTTGGTCATTCGAAGCTTGGCGCGAGCCGATCTAACGTGTTTGCTACTTGTCTCGGAAATAAGCAGACGGCAGTTTATTGTTCTATATCAATCTACTTGCCAAAAAGCCTCAAAGCCTAATGTTGCAACAACCTGATTCTGCAGAAGGCCCCAGTTGCAGTTTTGTCCCGGAGTGGCAATTCTATGCGTGGGCTGTGTTAAGGTCAGGCAGACAAGGTGAACGAGAAGAAGCAAGACCCAGCGGATTCTGTCTCGACCGCGGCCTTCTCCGCGGCCGAGCACAGTGAAGACTGCTCGCCGGCTTTGCGCGTTGCACACCCCGTGACACGCCAGGCAACACAAGGACGACATGTGTGCCTGGCACGCCCGTGTAACCGCCAGTTGGTCAGCATCTGAAGCCCAAAGGCATTGGCAGCCTTTGAGCCTGTATAACCCTCGCAGCAATGACATGATGTAGATTAGATGTGGTTTACATGAGTTGATTGAGAAGCAATGCAATTTTTGTGGTATGTGCGATTTTGTCTGGGACGGCTGCGCCGGTCTCTCTCAAATCCCTCGGGCATGTGCAATGACTGCCAGCTTGAGCATCGAGCCACACAACAGAAGCGCTGACTTAACGTAGCGAGACAATATATGACTTGTACGCCTATCATATCATGGCATGTTTGTGAAAACACTTTGGTTGTCAAAGCGTGAAGACTTTGTTATGCAAGCTTGGGATATCTTGTGAGACCCTTAATTGGGAGATAGTGTGGTGTGTGGGTGTGTATTTGTGTAATATGTAATCATGTGAGTGACTCAAACCTTAACTTGCAGTGATGTCAGGTAGTTTTGCTCCCTGGATGCTGCTGCTTTGCGTCTTCACCCGAAAGCAACTAGAGAGATGCCGACTGATGCCAATTACAGTGGTATTGGAACATCAGCGTTGCGTATTTTTGTTCTTCTTCTTTTTCTTTTTTAACAGCTGAACTGCAGGATGGAACAGTGTGTGTGTGTGTCGCGAAAACATGTTGCGTTACTTCAAACAGGCCTATGTCAAACAACCGCCGCAGGCAATTGGTCCGGACACCAGGCACAAACTGTTGCAAGCACAGCCACCACGCAGCGCTATTGTAAGATCAACGAGGCCAAGATCAACGTGTTGTGCGGCAAATATATTGGCACCATATTTGCCAAGTTGAAACTGCACAAAAGACATATGGTCAACTTGAGATCAACTGCGATTTGCGAGCACGCTTGTGATGCACAAGTGATCTCATGCGATGTGGCTCGTTTCGCTGTCACAGGCTGGTCAGGTCTCACAACAGCTTCCGTGTTCCACCTGGCCTGCGCCCTGCCATAGCCGATTCAACACAACCAAACGGCCAGATGGTAAGAAGAGCCTTAGTTGATGGGTCATTGGCTTTGTTCCTAGCGGTGCGCGGGCCGGGAAGGCCTGAGCAGGCCAAGTTGAGATGCCAAGTGATGCGAGTTACTTGGCTATGCTCCAAAAGTTCCAGATCTCTGGTGCAGACTCTGACGGAGTCTTTTCAACGCCAGATGTTCATCATAGCTGTTTGCATCCACCAGTTCGGGACTGCCACTGCCATAATATTATCTGAATAGTGGGAGGAAGTATTGAGGTCATTCATGAACAACATTTACGTTAGTGCGTTGGCTGTTTAGCGGTGAATGCACTAGTAGCGGTATCCCTGATTGGCTCATGGTGTAGATGTTGAGCATGTTTCAGCTTGGGGCTGATGGATAACTGTGTTTGTGTGTGTGTGTGTGCTGATGCATCCTCCAACGCATTGCAAGCGGGTGCGAAGCATGGGGAATCATGATCATGAGGTTATGCTAGAGTTTTGGAATGAATCAGGGAGGCATAAGGTGTAGTTCAGCTGTTGACTGAGCTAAACTGGTGGAAGCCTTTGTCGCAGCCTGCGACTCAGCAAGGATCCTTTTTGCCAGCTGTCTTTTTGATGGGAGTTGAAAGGCATACTGCAAAAGCGAGGATCATGATTCTTTGCCAACTCGATGGCAACCCGGCAAATTAGCCAATGCCAAATGACCGCAATCTATCATTGATAAAAACCACCTTTTCGACATTGTTCGACACTTTTCGACGGAACACATCCCCAGCACTAATGCGCCTCTATGCGGCCTGAAACCAACGACACAGCTTGTGCTGTCTGTCCGCAGTGGGTGACGCAGATCCTGTTTGTCAAAAGGCAGAGCACTGATGCCACTAGACCACCCCAGGCGGCCGAAGCCCAGTTTCCACCTCCTGACGCCTTTGCCAGTTCCACCTCCAAGGCAAACATCGCGTCCAAATGCAGACTGACCCACAGTTAGAGCGGGGAACTACGCGCTGTGCACACTACACATCCTTGAGCGCCTGAAGGAGCAAGGTGAGTTGGAGTGACAAGAAGTGCAGCCTGGTTAGCGCCCATTGCTCAGCCTCCTTCTGCAAGTCGCGCCGGCCCAACACGGGCTTTTGAGAATCATCAGCAACGGACTGGCCGACGCTGAAGGAGTAGCTGAATGATGGTGACAACGCCAGAGCCGCAGCGCCTGCGCGAGGCCATCAATCGCGGCACGGCCGTCCGGGCACGATCTGTGGTGTGGACTGCACAAGTGAAAAAATCCGATGCCCAAGCGCTCCATACGGCTAGGGGGTGGCCCGCAAGCGCTGAGGGTGGAGGTCATGAGGATGAAGCAGCGGTTAGACCCGCATACAGCAAAGAGCCCAGCCCTTCCACGTCCACCCGCCGAGTACATTGGTGGCTGCCAAGAGCCGACCTGGCGGCTGATGCCCGGTTCGCGCGCACTAGTAGCCTTGACGCATTTATATAATTTATATACACGTTGATCAGCAGTGCCCAACCAGTGTCGCACTCGCGGTTTAAGCCCTTGGGATTAAGTTGGCCGAGCGCCGTTCGTCGCACATGCAAGTTACACCATCGGGCTGTGGCCTTACGGCATGGCCATGCTGAGGTGCTCGCGCAAATCAAGTGGCAAGCCAGGCCTGTTCAGCTTGGGGGGACCCGCCCCCCACCGGTTGAGGCAGGTCAACACGCAGCATGGCGCAACTTGGCAACGATCGGCGCGGCCTGGCCCGTGCGCTGGACATAGCGGACCTAGCGTGGATGGCGGGCCACAGATCGCTGTCCAGCAAAGCCAGTAGATGTGTCCACAAGAGGCGTCCCTGCCCGAGTTGCTCGCTGCTTTCCGACAAGCGCTGCCATGTAGATTGGACAAGTTTAACGACCTTCCAGCCCGGACGGGCTTCCCCGGTCCATTTGCTGGCAGCGCCCTTTGACGCGTGATCACCCTTGCGCTCAGCTCGCACGACGCCGTTCGATCAGAGCGTCAGTGGTTGTTGGGCCATGGTCCGCTGCAGCGTCCAGGCCACGCAACGCCAGGCAGCAAGCCTTCTGAAGTAGACCTCTTTGCACACGTCCCAAAGATATTTTCTGCTCTTACAGATCCCAAAACAGCCTTATGAAACCTTATGAAGCTGCATGTTGTGAACCTCCAGACCACTGTTTTCAGAAAGTCCCATGACTGATACACATGTGCTGATACTCCTTTTTTTTCGCAAGCAAGCAAAACAACTACCCGTAGCAGGGTGGTTTAGGGCTGGTTTAGGTTGGGAAGGGTTTTCCCAAATGGTGACAATTTTGAAATTAAGCTTCAGAAGAGGGCTTCCAATATTGCAGTTAAAACATCAATATTTCAATATGTAATAATGAATTTCCCTTCTTTTCAAAGCCCAGTTCAATATATTGATCCTATTCAATATCCGATGCTCAGGGAAGCAAACGAAGCTCAACACCAGACCCACCGTACACCAGTGATTGCACGTCTGTTCGCCCCAACATCCTACGTTATATTTCCTTAATTAAGAAGATTTCTCGCCTTTGGAGTCATGCCTGGGTCTCCTCATGCAGTCGTTCGGGCGTGCCCCTGCGGGCAGTTTCTTATCCGCCTAGCGATCCGCTGCGGTTAGCAGAACAGTGCTTCCCCGAAACCTTGCCACAGAAGTCAGGCGGTCCGTACGAACACAATCGTGCAGACCATGCTGCTTGAAGCTCATTTGACAACAACACTGTGCCTTGATGTAATTGCCAGGAAAAACAAATTACAGATGTGGCCGTGGAGTTGTGTGCTCTGCTCGATGGCAAGCGTGCAAGGTTTTCGCATGATCAGACTGCTGGCCGTCCTTGAACGCATTGACCGATTTTACTCGTGTCAGTGGCACCTTGATTTATGGCAGTCCGGCGGCCAAAGTCGAGACACGTGCTGGGCGCTTCGAGGCGCTTGGTTTTTTCTTCGACTTTGGCAACGTTGGACTGCCAAAAGTTTCAGCTGGGGCCCTTTTGTTGAACTAGAGGATCATTCTGAGTCCAAGAGAAAAGGAGTGGGCTCGCGGCTCGTGTGTGCAGGGGGTTATCCACTCTTGAAGTCGCGCAGGCATGCACGTTCGGCGCCACAAAAGGGGGTTTTCACGAGTTGGAGTCCCATTTTTTCTGGGACAGCCATAAGGGCAGTTTGCCCACTGAGGCCAGTGCCGTATTTGCGTCCAGACAGTCTGTCATCACGAAGCTCCAAGTCTTTGGATCAATTTCAACTTGGTTCAACCTGGACTAGCCTTTTTTTTGGTAGGGTACCCCTTTTTTGGCGTGGTTTGTAAAGGGAAACAAAAGGACCCAACGTCAAATAGGCGCCCTATCAGACCATCATCCTGCCAGACCAGTCCGCCCGATTCTCTGCGCTTCCGAGGGATGACGCTTCTCCTGGCCTGCCCGAGGACGGATGGCAGGGCAAAAGCAGTTCGGTGCAGCGAGAAGGCGAACCCTTTGTTCCATCATTAGGATGCAGAAGGGCTATGATCATCGGCTGTTTGCGGTAAATTTAAATTTACCCCGTGTCACAAGTGGAAAGCGCATTGTGTTTTTTGGAGCTGCCCAGATAGTATCGGGCAATCGCCTGACGTGCTTGAGTTTGCTTCTCCTTCCAGTCAATCCCAGTTTACAGCTGGAATGTGTTGCGAAGCTATTGCCAACAAAGACCGGACTACTGCAGGGATTGTTTTTTGGCATTATTGTGTGTGTGTGTTGAAGTGTTTCTGCTTGCTTGCTTGCTTGCTTGCTTGCTTGCTTGCTTGCTTGCTTGCTTGCTTGCTTGCTTGCTTGCTTGCTTGCTTGCTTGCTTGCTTGCTTGCTTGCTTGCTTGCTTGCTTGCTTGCTTGCTTGCTTGCTTGCTTGCTTGCTTGCTTGCTTGCTTGCTTGCTTGCTTGCTTGCTTGCTTGCTTGCTTGCTTGCTTGCTTGCTTGCTTGCTTGCTTGCTTGCTTGCTTGCTTGCTTGCTTGCTTGCTTGCTTGCTTGCTTGCTTGCGTGTTTTTTGTTTGCTTGCTTGCTTGCTTGCTTGCGTGTTTTTTTGTTTGCTTGCTTGCTTGCTTGTTTGTTTGTTGGTTGGTTGGTTGATTGTGTGTGTGTGTGTTTGCGTGGGGTTGTGTGTGTGTGTTTGCGTTTGTTTGCGTGTGTTTGTGTTTGTTTGTGTTTGTGTGTTTGTCTGTGTTTATGTGTTTAATTGTGTGCATTTGTTTTTTTGTTGTGTGTTTGTTTGTTTGGTCGGTCCGTCGGTCGGTCAGCTGGTTGGTTGGTTTTGGTTGGTTTTGGTTGGTTTTGGTTGGTTTTGGTTGGTTGGTTGGTTGGTTGGTTGGTTGGTTGGTTGGTTGGTTGGTTGGTTGGTTGGTTGGTTGGTTGGTTGGTTGGTTGGTTGGTTGGTTGGTTGGTTGGTTGGTTGGTTGGTTGTGTTTGCCCTGTAGTTTGGTTTGGTTTTGTCTTGTTTGGTTTGGTTGCGGGTTTGCTTGTTTGTTTGTTTGTTTGGTTGGTTGGTTGGTTGTTTGTTAATTTGTTTGAGTGTTTGCGTGTGTGTTTTGCTTGCTTGTTTGTGTTGCGTGTGTGAGTGTGTTTGCTTGTGTTTGAGGTTGTGCTTGTGTGTACGTGTGTGTGTGCTCGTGGTAGTGTTTGTGTGCGTGATTGCGACTGTGAGTGTGCGTGTGTGTATGCTGGTGTGTGTGTGTTATGTTATGTTTTGTTATGTTATGTCATGTTAAGTTAGTTAGTGTGTTAGTGTGTTAGTGTGTTAGTGTGTTAGTGTGTTAGTGTGTTAGTGTGTTAGTGTGTTACTGTGTTAGTGTGTTAGTGTGTTAGTGTGTTAGTGTGTTAGTGTGTTAGTGTGTGTGTGTGTGTGAGTGTGTGAGTGTGTGTGTGTGCGCTGGGCCAATGATGGTGATATTACCCATATGTTTCTGGTCAGAAAAGTATGTGTGCCTCGGTTGATTGGTTTTGTTCTACAAACGTGCGTGTTTTTGTGTAGACCAGGTTGTTCAAGGGTCGTAGATGCAGGGCCCGAACGCAAGTGGAATGTATTCGGCCAGCACACTTTGATTGACTGCTCAGAGTTTTTTTCAGTTATTCGCCAAGCCGGATCGTCTGGTGCAAAAACATTTTTGCAGAACTGCAATGATGTTGCCACTGAGAGACGCGTACAGAGTTGTATGCACTTGTGCAGACACGAGACAACACAGATTGTCCAAACACAACACTCCGGGAGCACAATGTGTAGGATCCTTGTAACATATTCACGTAGGGAAACAAAAACAACTTGCACTGTCCTGTCCAGGGCGACTTCTACTCGGGCGGTGGTTCCGGTCACCTACAGGGCAGCAACGCCTCTCTGAAAACAACCTTGCAGGCTTGCAGCTTTCTTCGGCTCCATGGGGCCATGTTCGGTTCATTTGATGAGCCGAAAGACGTTTGAACTGCCCGTTGGAGTGTTCCAAGTGAGCTGGATTTGACAGGCTTAACATGGCGTGGCAGTCAAAGCATTTCGAATCCCAGGTTTGCATGTAGTGCAGTAGTTACTCTGAGCCACGTGTGAGGCGTGAGGTATGAAAGGACGATACTTTGCGTTGTTTGATGGCCTTCTTCATTGCCAGGCAATTGTGGAACGTGCTGAACAAGAGAAGGTCCAAGTCATTTCAGCAGGATCCTTAACAAATAGGGGGAGGGAGTCAACCTCTAGACTCTAGACTTTATTTTGAGAGCGTCCCAACATCGTTTGAATGTTCTTTCACCCCAGGCCCGTCCAGTCATTGGAGCAGTCATGTTAGAGATGCCTTCCAACGCAAACAGACGCTTTGCCATTTGTTTTGACTAGAAGTATCACGCAGTGTGCAATACACGGCCGGAATTTGTGAAGATCATTGCCTCTGTGATAATTGATTCAGCTGACTGATCAGCAGTGCTGAGGTTTCCGCGAAAGAAGATTTGTTCAGTGTGCTGCTGCGGAGACGTTGTATTTTTTTGACGCGTGCTTACGTTAGAACATGTGTGTAGCTTACTGCAACATGTGGCTTAGGCAGTCGGCGCAGGCAAGCCGTGTAGGCTGCGAGATATCCCAACGTTGCTTACTTCCCTGGAGGTCGCTGTCAGGTTTCTTCTCCACACCATATACTTTGGCAGTCTACTGCAGAATGGACTGATCCAATTATAGTTTGGTTTAACAACTTTGATCAAAGTTACACAAGCAACCGCCATTGCTTTCCACCACAGGCGCATGATCTTGCATTGTAAGCACCTCATGCCAATTTTGCGCTCTGCTGCCAAGAGTCGCCGAATCTGCGCTGCAACAAAGTGCGCAAGGCTTGCAGAATGTGTTCATGGACCCATGCAGCTTTTGTTTCCCAGGGCATGTACAAGTGCTAGTCCAATCTGGAACAGATTATGTTCAGTTTCGGGACCAATGCCGATGCCATTGTTTGGTTCCATTGCAAGACAAATGCGGCCAAAGTACGCACAGCGCAACAGCGTTTAGGATCTCGCCTAGAAATCTGATTCTGATTCAAACCTTCCATTTCTTCGCGCCTCGCAAGCCGTCGTGTGTGTTTCCTTGCTTTGCGAACATCAGTTTTGTCAAGCTGAGCCAGAAGGAGGTCAATTGAACAAGCAGCCTGTTGTTCTTAGACAGCTGGCAATGCAATTCTCAAAATGGCCAGCCCCGACTGAGGCGAACACCTCCTTCACACACAACCACTCCAGGCAGTTACTTGCGCAGTGGATTTGCTTGACTCAGCCACACCTGAGGTTTTGGTATAGGTTCGATTGCATGAATGCAATCAGCACTTGCGCACTTTTGGAAGCTGACAGTGCCACTAGTCCAAACGAGTTCGCAAAGGTAGGCTGGAGGCATTTCCTTGTGTATCACGCTAGGCCTTTGGGGCTGTTGCTGCAGGACCAGGAGGCGCAGATTTGCGTGAAGCGCCTGAGGGTTCGAGAGTTTTGGTATTTTTTGTGATCTGCGATGCACGTCAGGTTGACCTTGTGGTGGTGGTGGCTGGCGTCAGAAGCCAAGAGGCGCTTGACCGTCCGGACCTGAACCTGGCTGCTGCCCGGAAGCTCAGTCGATGCCCTGGCAGCGCGGTGGGGGGGGGGGCAAGAGTTCTTGGGCGCCGTGGGCAAACCAAAACGACGCCTTCCGATGCTTCAGAGGGGCTGCCCGCCGCCCGCGGATCCGCGGATCCGCGGATTCGGAGTCAGGACGAGCTCATCCACCAAGCGAGCCTCTCGAAGCCCACCGTGGAAGCTTCGGCATGCAGTTTTCAGGGTGGCCCAACCAATGGGAGAGTGGACCGGTCGAGAAGAAAAGAGGGTCGTGGTCGATCACCCGGGGTTTATCCAACCACTTTGTGATACAAGTTGGAATCTCCCCCTTGTGGGGGTTAGTCTTTGGGAAGACCACTCTTGTTGCATCAAGATGTTATTTCCCACAGCCCTGGCCAAAATCGTCCGGGGTCAATTTGGGACATGGGCGAACTCACAATTCCCACAACAGCTCAGGGGACTCACCACTTGTCCCATGTCCCAACATGTTCTGGTGGCTCACATGAGCCAAGCATCGGGTCAGCCGTGAGCCATGCTTGAGAGTTGCTTGTGTTCAGAGTGGGCTGCCCAGATGGTTAAGCCACTTAGGATCGTGTGGCCCAAGAACCCAGATGGTTAGGCCACCCTTGTTGGGTTGTTTGCCCATTGGCTAGCTTATGATATGCTGTCATGCTCGCCACATTGGAACAGCTTGCAACGCGGGTTGCTCCCTCGGCTTGCGCCAGAACAGGAAAGCATGGCGTTGTTCGGTGTGTTTTGTCCCGCGTTAGGGCTGGGCCGGCTGGCTGGCAGCCGGGTTTGTGGGTGGGCAGAGTTGGGCAGGCGTGGTTGCAGTTGGTTGCAGTTGGTTGCAGTTGGTTGCAGTTGGTTTTGGGCTGGTTGAGGCTGGTGTGGGGCCTGATTCAGGATGGATGCCCGACCAATCAATGCAGCTGCACCAGCCAAAACCGCCCAAGATCCGGGGGGCCTGACTGAACTCCATGGTCAGACATGTGCCCCCAAATAAATCTCTGATCATGCAAAGCCATTCTCGCAAAACAATTGAAGCCCTCCCACCTAGGTGTGACAAGCTGACTGGAACAGTAACAAGGATACGATCATGATGAGTCACTGTTTTTTTTGAAATTGAGGTGAAACCAGAGTGCACCCCGTAGTTGGACCAGATTGGATGAGGCAAGATGGAATCACAAGGTAAGGCTTACTTTGACTTGTTTCTCGACAGCTATATATTTATAGAATCGAGTCATTCTTTTGCTGCAGCACCCAGTTCCTACAGCTTGCTTGCAACAACTGTCGCATGCGAACACTTCGGAGCGATTAGTTTATCTGGTCCTAGAAGGAGTCCTAGATGTGCAACTGTTTTGTGGGCAGTAAGGGTACCTTCCACGACAAGATTTCAACAACAGCGACAAAAACAATAACTAACAACGATTGACAAACAATATATAAGGTACCACGATAAAGGCCACCTTTCCAGGAAATCCTGCCAAAACGTTCGCTTTAAGCCTCTCGTCCCAAATGCTGGGTGACAATGGGTGACAATGGGTGACAAACGGGAAACGCCTCGCCGAATGTATCAAAATCGGAGATGCCCACGGATCATGCAAGTTCTGCGTGACAGGTGTTGCTGATGCTGCCTGGTGCGGTGCTTATGCCGTGGCAGTACCAGGCAAGGCGAGCATCTAGCCGCAAGGCCACGTGATCGCACTATCACCATGGAAGGTGGCCTGATTTGGGAATGTTGGGATTCTATAGCTCAGTGGTAGACTCCTTCCAAGAAGATGGGCTAGATGATAGTTTGATTTGACGTGTGGACGAACTGCGAGCAGGCATGCAAGTGTCGACCAGCGGACTAGTGTAGCACCTCCCATCAACAGGCTGCAAATTCAGGGACTCCAGGATGTGTTACTAGTGATGGAAGCTGAGCTTTTTGGGCTCGTTGCTGAGCCACCTTTACTCTTTGGAAGAACCGACCAGCCTTGTTTTTTGGTGACTTGATTGAATCGCTCCATCACAAATTCCATGCTGGAAGGCTCTTGGAGAAGGGAAGGGCTCGTTTGACAGCGCATTCGTACAAAATGCATGGCACACCAGGATGAAACAGTACACCCAACAACATTGTATTGTTCACAAAACATTTTTAGGGGGACCCATGTTAAGATTTCGAAGGACAGGGTCGCAGTGGCCTTGTTGGCTTCACCACTCTGTCCTTTGACATGTGAAGGCCTTGGCTGCGACTTCCCTCCGACAGCAGATACTGGGATCTGGTAAAGTCACTGGATCCTGCTGCCTGTGGATGGGTGGAACGTGGATAGCAGTGATTCACCGCGAATACTGGGAATAGAGTGTTCCATAAATTCAAGTGAGCTCGACTCTTGCCTGGATTTGTTGAGCCAATGAGCATGACCAGCAGAAATTCCAGAGACTCACGGTCAGCACGAAAAAGATGCTGCAGTGTTTGCTTTTTTTTTGAGGTAGTTTGAGGCAACCGCCTTCCCTAAACGTGTCTATGGGTTTGGCTTTGGGTTTGACCTGCGTCGCAGGTCTCGGGCATTGCAGTCCTTTTCTACGGCGGCGAGGCTGGCTTTAAATCTGAGCGTGAGACGCATGATCGCGTCGGGTTGTTGCGTCCAAGCTTGTTCCAACTCGCGACTGTTGTTCTAGCAAACTTGGAGCAGATGGTGACTGGATTGCTGTAGACCCGATGAAGGAGGCGGTAGCTTTTGTTTAGAATGCATCATTGTTTGTAGTGTTGACATGCACTTGTCACGCTTTGTTCAGGGCATGTTCTTTTTGCACAGTTTGTGCGCCATTGCTGTTTGCTTTGCTTTGTTGTGCCCTGTTCAGAAAACAGAACCTTTGAACACTTTTTGAGATATCCTGAGTATTTCAGTGTTTATGTTGAAGACTGGGCTCAAATAGGCACAAGATGCAGGCTCCAAGTTGACCGTTTTGAGCAAAGCTGTTCGAAGAGTTCCTTGCGAGCATAGGCGTGTGTTTGAAGTCGAATGGCAGCCGATAACTGGGCAACTTCTCAAGGTTTCTCAACTGGACGCTGCAGGCCCCATGCTGAAGTTTATAACGGTGACCCCAGAAGTTCGCTGGCCGACGAAACAAAGGTTGCGATGCGCAGCCCCTACACAGCTCGTGAACTGGCTGTGGAATCTTGGGAACCCGATACTCACGGACAGCGCATCGCTAGGTGCAATCCCTTTTTGTGAGTTTCTCAATCAGCAGACGGCGCATTGCTAGGTGTACGTGTGTCCACAATATTTGTTATATTTGTTTTACATGGCCGTTTCGATGGAATGTGTACTTCTGTTGTTTATTGGCTTTGCCCAGCAGCCGCACCAGCTGGCTAGGCAAGCAGGGTTTGCACGCCTTTGAAAAGCTCCCCTCTTCCAAGAAACGAGAAGCCAAAGTACAAAATCAAGCACATGCACGGAAAGACACTGCTGTGTTTGCTGGCAAGTCATCTCCCAACCATCGCAAAAATAGTATTTCCAGCACCTTTTGCTCCACTTTTGCAGAATCATTGCTGATTTGACCGATGATGTTGGAGATGCTGATCCAGACCCCAATGCCCGTGTCAAAAACAACAGCGCCGGGGCCACAGCACAGAAAACCCGCCTCCAGAGTGCCAAGTACCGGCCATTGGCTTCACAGCGTAAGCGCGAACTTCGTGCCACACATGATGCTGTTCGGCAGTTTGGGGGACGGGATGAAAGGTGCATGGGTTGCGGAGATCCAGGCGACTGGTTCTGCATTTGCCTCCGTGCTGTTTGGGGACGTGAATCCAGCCACTTGGCATGGGAACTTGGACTGGATGGGCCGGGCCAAGCTGGCAAAGGATGCAGTCATGCAGTCTCTCCCCAAGCTGGAGCCAAGTGGGAGCAGCCATTGAATTGTCCAGGATTTGTTTAAGCTTCCTATGTGAGCTACCAAAAGGGTTTGCATTTGTGTCATTTGGATTGCAACAAGATCACTGCAAAGCGAAGGCCGCATGTAATAAGGACGAGCCAAACTCGGAAAGTATTTGTTCACGAACACCACGCAGAATGCTTCAAAGGTGCTGCTTGAAACGCAGAAACGGGCCCGCGGCTGAGCAGCGGAATGGGGTTGGTGCGCCTAGCAGTGCCCACCAAGCAACCGATTGCAGGCAAGAAACATGGATTACCTGTCTTTGCAAAGAGCAAGCTAAACACGAGAGAGCCATTTGATCTCATGGCATGCCCCACACAAAGGGGGCGTATCCCACATGACCCAAACACTTGCAAATGAACGTGACATTTTATGCCAAGTCTGTGGATATGTTATTTTTTTTGCATGCCTCATGTACCTCTTGACAATGTGCGCTGAGTGCACGCATGTTGCAAAATTATTGCAAGAAGCTCCCTTCCCAGTTTGCGCGCTATTGACTTTGGACAATGACCTTGTCCTTTCGTGACCCCCTTCAAAGCCACGGATGTCTAGATGTTTGCGCATCCAATGAGGCCATCTAGATGCGCAGGTAGCCTTCAAGCTGTGCAAGCCATGCCAAGCGAGGAAATGCCAACGAACAGTCGGCCATTTCCCGGAACAGGCACCAGGAAGCCGCAGCTTGCTGGGAGTGGTGGGAAGTGGTTTGGCTGCGACTTTCTTGTTATGCACGCCCAGGCTGGAAAACTGCCTTTGACGATCCCAAGGAGTGAGGCAAGCAGTGCATGTTCACTGCGACCAGAACTCATTTGAGGTTTGTTCATGTCATGAACCTTTGAGCATTGCCCATGCACTGCGAAACGTGCGGCTGGCCATTGAGCTTGCAGCTGGCCGATGAACTTGTTTGTGCCGAAGATTGGCGGGTCTTGCTCAGCACAGCTTGGAAGACGCAAGGCAATGCGCACCGGAGCACAGAAGCACCTTGCAATTGCGTCGGCAAGCAACGCATGTTTGACCCACACCACTGTTAGCGTTTGCCTGCGCAGGCTGACACCATTCTGCCTGCGAAGGATGGGTGAAGCATGTGTTGTTTCGGTGGGACGTGCGTGTGCGTGTATGTGTGTGTGTGTGTGTGTATTCGTGTATGTGTGTATGTGTGTGAGTGTGTTTGCCTTTCTGTTGCTCTATATTTCTGACTTCTGTGTTGTGTTACTGTCTCGCTCATACACTGGGCTCGAGTCAACGGAGTTCGATTAATTGAGCACGGTTTGCTTGTCCACTAGTGTAAACAGGAACGGACAAGAGAGCTGATTGTTTAGTAGTAAACTTTCCAGGACCTGACCCAGACATTTCCAGTCTAGCATTGTACAGGGATCATTCGCAACAGATCTACCAAACGGGGCTTCTTACGGAGTCGATCTTTTCGACAAAGAATGTCCAAGGGCAGCAGGATGTCGATGGTCTTCAGTATCATTCTATGTCTGGTTGGTGCTCAGCCCTTGTGACCTAGCCTTGTGACCTTACCCAGGTTTCAACTGATTCGAGTGGATGGATTTCATTTCGGTAGCCTTTCAATGAGGAGTTGCACGGCTAAGTGCCTGAAGTGGACTTATTTTTACATGTCGACATGGTGCACTAAGTCTTGGCTCACAGTGGCATGAAAGAGAGCAATGCGTGTCAGTGAACTTTGCTCGAGTGGCTCGACTGCCTTGAGAGTGATTTGTAGCTCCAAAGTCCCCGACTTGCCCACGGCCCTGCCAGGGCCCCATTGCGATCTACTCGGAGGGCATGTTTACATCCTACCGGAAGAGCAGCATCAAGGCATCGGTGCTACCTTTTTTTGCACCAGACGTTGCTGGGTTCATCCGGTCAGGGCGACAACCTGTGCGCATTCTCTGAATTTGAGGCACATGTATTGAAAGGAACTGGATCCCAGTATGTTTGAACAAGACTTGTCACATCTTGCGGAATCATGATCACTCTGAGCGGATAAGGTGTCACTGCTTACGGAAGTGAAACTGTCACTGCTTGCGGAAGTGAAACTCTCACTGCTTACGGAAATGAAGCCACTACACGCAGAAAAGCATAGGGGTAGGAAGCTCCTTTCTAGGTTCCTTTCTAAGGCTCCTTTCTAAGGCTCCTTTCTCAGGCTCCTTTCTAAGGCTCCTTTCTAAGGCTCCTTTCTAGGTTCCTTTCTAAGGCTCCTTTCTGAGGCTCCTTTCTAAGGCTCCTTTCTAAGGTTCTTTTCTAAGGCTCCTTTCTAAGACTCCTTTCTAAGGCTCCTTTCTAAGGCTCCTTTCTAAGGCTCCTTTCGTGCCTTTCTAAGGCTCCTTTCTAAGGCTCCTTTCTAAGGTTCTTTTCTATCGCTCCTTTCTAAGGCTCCTTTCTAAGGTTGTTTCTAAGGCTCCTTTCTAAGGCTCCTTTCTAAGGCTCCTTTCTAAGGTTCCTTTCTAAGGCTCCCTAAGACAGCTTCCAGCTCGAAAAGCGGATCCCCAAGACAACCTTCATCACGGCCCCCTTTCAGGAGGGATTGGCTCGGGATCCGCTTTTCGAGCTGGAATGCCGGATTCCAGCTCGAAAAGCGGATCACCAAGACAACCTTCATCACGGCCCCCTTTCAGGAGGGATTGGCTGGGGATCCGCTTTTCGAGCTGAAATGCCACATTCCACCTCGAACAGCGGATCCCCAAGACAACCTTCATCCCGGCCCCCTTTCAGGAGGGATTGGCTGGGGATCCGCTTTTCGAGCTGGAATGCCGGATTCCAGCTCGAAAAGCGGATCCCCAAGACAACCTTCATCACGGCCCCCTTTCAGCAGGGATTGGCTGGGGATCCGCTTTTCGAGCTGGAATGCCGGATTCCAGCTCGAAAAGCGGATCCCCAAGACAACCTTCATCACGGCCCCCTTTCAGGAGGGATTGGCTCGGGATCCGCTTTTCGAGCTGGATTGCCGGATTCCAGCTCGAAAAGCGGATTATCAAGACAATTTCAAGAAAATTAAAAAAATTGGCTGGGATCCGCTTTTCGAGCCTTCATCACGGCCCCCTTTCAGGAGGGATTGGCTGGGGATCCACTTTTCGAGCTGGAATGCCGGATTCCAGCTCGAAAAGCGGATCCCCAAGACAACCTTCATCACGGCCCCCTTTCAGGAGGGATTGGCTGGGGATCCGCTTTTCGAGCTGGATTGCCGCTTCATCACGGCCCTTTTTCAGGAAGATTGGCTGGAATGCCGGGTTCCAGCTTAGCTTGAAAAGCGGATCCCCAAGACAACCTTCATCACGGCCCCCTTTCAGGAGGGATTGGATTGCCGCTTCATCACGGCCCTTTTTCAGGAGGGATTGGCTGGGGATCCGCTTTTCGAGCTGGATCCAGCTTGAAAAGCGGATCCCCAAGACAACCTTCACCACGGCCCCCTTTCAGGAGGGATTGGCTGGGGATCCGCTTTTCAAACTGGATTGCCGGATTCCAGCTTGAAAAGCGGATCCCCAAGACACCTTCATCACGGCCCCCTTTCAGGAGGGATTACGGCCCCCTTTCAGGAGGGATTACGGCCCCCTTTCAGGAGGGATTGGCTGGGGATCCGCTTTTCGAGCTGGAATGCCGGATTCCAGCTCGAAAAGCGGATCATCAAGACAACCTTCATCACGGCCCCCTTTCAGGAGGGATTGGCTGGGGATCCGCTTTTCGAGCTGGATTGCCGGATTCCAGCTCAAAAAGCCCCTTTCAGGAGGGATTGGCTGGGGATCCCCAAGACAACCTTCATCACGGCCCTTCAGGAGGGATTGGCTGGGGATCCGCTTTTCGAGCTGGATTGCCGAACAGCGGATCGCCAAGACAACCTTCATCACGGCCCTCTTTCAGGAGGGATTGGCTGGGGATCCGCTTTTCGAGCTGGATTGCCGGATTCCAGCTCGAAAAGCGGATCTTCAAGACAGCCTTCATCACGGCCCCCTTTCAGGAGGGATTGGCTGGGGATCCGCTTTTCGAGCTGGATTGCCGGATTCCAGCTGAAAAAGGGATCCGCTTTTCGAGCTGGAATGCCGGATTCCAGCTCGAAAAGCGGATCCCCAAGACAACCTTCATCACGGCCCCCTTTCAGGAGGGATTGGCTGGGGATCATTCCAGCTCGAAAAGCGGATCCCCAAGACAACCTTCATCACGGCCCCCTTATTTCAGGAGGGATTGGCGGGGGATCCGCTTTTCGAGCTGGAATGCCGGGTTCCAGCTCGAAAAGCGGATCCCCAAGACAACCTTCATCACGGCCCCGTTTCAGGAGGGATTGGCTGGGGATCCGCTTTTCGAGCTGGATTGCCGGATTCCAGCTTGAAAAGCGCATCCTCAAGACAACCTTCATCACGGCCCCCTTTCAGGAGGGATTGGCTGGGGATCCGCTTTTCGAGCTGGAATGCCGGATTCCAGCTCGAAAAGCGATCCCCAAGACAACCTTCATCACGGCCCCCTTTCAGGAGGGATTGGCTGGGGATCCGCTTTTCGAGCTGGATTGCCGCTTCATCACGGCCCTTTTTCAGGAGGGATTGGGATCCGCTTTTCGAGCTGGATTGCCGGATTCCAGCTTGAAAAGCGGATTTCCAAGACAACCTTCATCGCGGCCCCCTTTCAGGAGGGATTGGCTGGGGATCCGCTTTTCGAGCTGGAATGCCGGATTCCAGCTCGAAAAGCGGATCCCCAAGACAACCTTCATCACGGCCCCCTTTCACGAGGGATTGGCTGGGGATCCGCTTTTCGAGCTGGATTGCCGGATTCCAGCTCGAAAAGCGGATCCCCAAGACAACCTTCATCACGGCCCCCTTTCAGGAGGGATTGGCTGGGGGTCCGCTTTTCGAGCTGGATTGCTTCCAGTTCGAAAAGCTGATCCCCAAGACAACCTTCATCACGGCCCCCTTTCAGGAAGGAATCCGCTTTTCGAGCTGGAATGCTTCCAGTTCGAAAAACGGATCCCCAAGACAACCTTCATCACGGCCCCCTTTCAGGAGGGATTGGCTGGGGATCCGCTTTTGGAGCTGGAATGCCGGATTCCAGCTCGAAAAGCGGATCCCCAAGACAACCTTCATCACGGCCCCCTTTCAGGAGGGATTGGCTGGGGATCCGCTTTTCGAGCTGGATTGCCGGATTCCAGCTCGAAAAACGGATCCCCAACACAACCTTCATCACGGCCCCTTTTCAGGAGGGATTGGCTGGGGCCGCTTTTCGAGCTGGATTGCTTCCAGCTCGAAAAGCGGATCCCCAAGACATGGATTGCCGGATCCCCAAGACAACCTTCATCACGGCCCCCTTTCAGGAGGGATTGGCTGGGATCCGCTTTTCGAGCTGGAATGTCGTATTCCAGCTCGAAAAACGGATCCCCAAGACAACCTTCATCACGGCCCCCTTTCAGGAGGGATTGGCTGGGGATCCGCTTTTCGAGCTGGAACAGGAGGGAGGCTGGAGCTGGAGTGCCGGATTCCAGCTCGAAAAGCAGATCCCCAAGACAACCTTCATCACGGCCCCCTTTCAAGAGGGATTGGCTGGGGATCCGCTTTTCGAGCTGGAATGCCGGATTCGCTCGAAACTTCATCCCTTTCAGGAGGGATTGGCTGGGGATCCGCTTTTCGAGCTGGATTGCTCGAAAAGCGGATCCAAAGACAACCTTCATCACGGCCCCCTTTCAGGAGGGATTGGCTGGGGATCCGCTTTTCGAGCTGGAATGCCGGATTCCAGCTCGAAAAGCGGATCCCCAACACAACCTTCATCACGGCCCCCTTATTTCAGGAGGGATTGGCTGGGGATCCGCTTTTCGAGCTGGATTGCCGGATTCCAGCTCGAAAAGCGGATCCCCAAGACAACCTTCATCACGGCCCCCTTTCAGGAGGGATCCGCATTTCGAGCTGGAATGCCGGATTCCAGCTCGAAAAGCGGATCCCCAAGACAACCTTCATCACGGCCCGCTTCAGGAGGATTCCAGCTCGAAAAGCGGATCCCCAAGACAACCTTCATCACGGCCCCCTTTCAGGAGGGACTGGGTGGGGATCCGCTTTTCGAGCTGGAATGCCGGATTCCAGCTCGAAAAGCGGATCCCCAAGACAACCTTCATCACGGCCCCCTTTCAGGAAGGATTGGCTGGGGATCCGCTTTTCAAAATGGAATGCCGGATTCCAGCTCGAAAAGCGGATCCCCAAGACAACCTTCATCACGGCCCTCTTTCAGGATGGATTGGCTGGGGATCCGCTTTTCGAGCTGGAAGCATTCCAGCTCGAAAAGCGGATCCCCAAGACAACCTTCATCACGGCCCCCTTTCAGGAGGGATTGGCGGGGGATCCGCTTTTCGAGCTGGAATCAGGAGGGATTGGCTGGGCATCCGCTTTTCGAGCTGGAATGCCGGATTCGCTCGAAAAACGGATCCCCAAGACAACCTTCATCACGGCCCCCTTTCAGAGGGATTGTCTGGGGATCCGCTTTTCGAGCTGGATTGCGGGATTCCAGCTCGAAAAGCGGACCAAGACAACCTTCATCACGGCCCCCTTTCAGGAGGGATTGGCTGGGGATCCGTTCGAGCTGGATTGCCGGATTCCAGCTCGAAAAGCGACAACCTTCATCCAGCCCCCTTTCAGGAGGGATTGGCTGGGGATCCGCTTTTCGAGCTGGAAAAGCGGAGCCCCAAGACAACCTTCATCACGGCCCCCTTTCAGGAGGGATTGGCTGAGGATCCGCTTTTCGAGCTGGATTGCCGGATTCCAGTTCGAAAAGCGGATCCCCAAGACAACCTTCATCACGGTCGCCTTTCAGGAGGGATTGGCTGGGGATCCGCTTTTCGAGCTGGAATGCCGGATTCCAGCTCGAAAAGCGGATCCCCAAGACAACCTTCATCACGGCCCCCTTTCAGGAGGGATTGGCTGGGGATCCGCTTTTCGAGCTGGAATGCCGGATTCCAGCTCGAAAAGCGGATCCCCAAGACAACCTTCATCACGGCCCCCTTTCAGGAGGGATTGGCCGGGGATCCGCTTTTCGAGCTGGAATGCCGGATTCCAGCTCGATTGGCTTTCGGGGATCCGCTTTTCGAGCTGGAATGCCGGATTCCAGCTCGAAAAGCGGATCCCCAAGACAACCTTCATCACGGCCCCCTTTCAGGAGGGATTGGCGGGGATCCGCTTTTCGAGCTGGAATGCCGGATTCCAGCTCGAAAAGCGGATCCCCAAGACAACCTTCATCACGGCCCCCTTTCAGGAGGGATTGGCTGGGGATCCGCTTTTCGAGCTGGAATGCCGGATTCCAGCTCGAAAAGCGGATCCCCAAGACAACCTTCATCACCAGGAGGGATTGGCTGGGAATCCGCTTTTCGAGCTGGATTGCCGGATTCCAGCTCGAAAAGTGGATCCCCAAGACAACCTTCATCACGGCCCCCTTTCAGGAGGGTCCGCTTTTTTCGCAGAGACTGTGCTTTGTTTTTCTGCACATTTGGTTGTTTTTTTTCCGCTCTGCGGGGTTCGCACGTTTTCGCGCAGCGCCAAGCCTCATGTTTGAACGGCCAGATTGGTTCAGTGCTGAAACCAGGAAGCTGATACTGGAGTGTGGTATTGGCAACAGGGTATAGAACTGGCATTTCCTGTCAGCCATTGATATTGACGAAAAGCTTCACAGTGCAAAATTGCAAAGTTGCAAAGCTATGCTATGAGGTTGTACCCGCACCGTCTTAGATATGCTTTTCTCGCCGGCTTGGGACTTTTAGACTGCCACTTGCAGGCAGCGTTTCCTTTCGGACATGGCCTGTCCTACACCACCTTCCGGATCAGCACCTGGCTGAGTGGGCCGCAGTGTTTCTTGAGTGGCCACCTCACATCGCGCATGCATGTTTGTGTGTGTGTGTGTGTGTGGTGTGTGTGTGTGTGTGCGCGCGCGCGTGTGTGTGTGTGCGCGCGCACATGAGTGGTGTTTGCTTTGTTCCCAACACACGCAACGCACGGAGCAATCAAAGTACTGGTCTGGAAACAAGACCCCCCCCCCAGATTTCACGATTCATTGCCTGTTCTACTGAATCTTCCGAGGGTACGTAGTTTCTGCCATTTGGCCAAACTGCGGAAATCAGCGCCGTTTCAACAGTTTTTAGCTCTTTCAAGCAACACTTGCTGTTTGGCGAATGTCCTGAGGTTTCCTTCATTGACAGTGCAGTTTTGAATCATTGCCCCAAGATAGTGTGGACAAAGACGCCTGGAGGATCGCGAAGGGTATCGCAACTAAAGTTCCAAGATTGCAAAAGCTTCGTAAAGCAGGCATAGAGGTCCTTTTTGGTTGTTTTGGTCGAAAAATAGATGGCCCTGGTTTATCTGGTGGTTCAATCATTTACCAGGGCCAGCCATTTCCCCCAAAAGGACACCTATAGTAGCCGGTTAATTAACTCCTACTGCTGCGTCTCCCAGAGCTAAGCGTACTGGCATTCATGTTTGCCAACGGTAGCGTCATGTAGCGGTCACGAGCCCCGAAGGGTTTGGAGCCATCACCCTCGCGAGAATTCCAGGCATGCGCAACAATTTGCAGCACAGGCAAATGTTGTTGCACGTTGACGTCTCAGGAAGTGCTCACCCAAAAGGACCTCTGAGCCCTGCACCTTTGCCCCTCACGTTTTTGTTACGAGCCGCAATCACCCCTCGCATCCTCTCAGCACACAAGCGCAAATCACATCAGAGCGCATTAGCGTCAGACACTGCCAACATTAGCGAGGATAAGAGTTTGTTGTGTCTGCCTACTCAAATTCTGTAAACACGTGGCTGTAGCCAACACAATGACCACAGCTCCAAGCGGCAGCGCCATTCACTTCCGAGGACAGGCCTTGCAATAGTTTGCAGTAGAACAGCGTGTGGACTGAACCGGCAAGCGCTATGAATTCGGTTCGCCAAACATCGCCGTTTGGCTGCAATTTATCATCTTTTGGCCGCACATTCTGACCGTTTGGTTTTTGCAAATTTGGGCGTCGCAGTTGTCCGTTCCTCCAAGAGCTGCAATGGCAATCCTCGCTGCAATTCAACAAATGACACTTCGCAGGTGTGTGCAGCAGTAGGTAAGGCCCATCCAGCAGCCATCTGGCGGCAGTTGCTGAAGTAACAACTTACATTGCAACACACTTTTTGCTGTTGGTTTGGTTCCCTCATGTTTCTTCCTTTCACGCGCCTCCAACTTCTCTTGGCTTGGATTCAAACCAGCCTGAAGTGGATTGGCCTTCTGTCCTCGCGTGCCTGTAACCACTATGCAAGAATTGCCCTCGTGAAGTTACGAAGGCTTTTCAAGTCAAACACGCTTAATGGTCTTAGGCACTCAGCAAAGAATCTTTGACGTTGAGTGATTTCTGATATCATTGGAGATCTTACCACTCCCACCGTGTGTGATGCTGGGCAGTTCACTGCGACCTGCAGGAGAAAAACAGTTCATGACCCAGTTCTGCGCGTGAACGTCGCTGGGTGTTGTCTGCTGAACCTCAAGTACTCAAGAGGCCTGATAAGGCGAAAGTAGCACTCAAATGCGGCATTAGTATGCTGCGAAGTCAAGTGCAGCATGTTCGACCAGCACATTGTAACCAAGATACTAGCACGAAGAACAAGCCCCACATAACCCCGAATATGCACCCTGATGCTGAAAAGAGGACAAGTGCAGTTTGTACAAAATATGCAGCTTCAACTTAAAACATGGTTGTGTCCGAAACTGCTGAAATCTTGCACTTTTTGGAATATGCATATCAGCATAGACAGTTCCCTTCCACAAACACTTGCATTGTGATTCGATGTGTCAATGTCGCTCAAGCAAAAGTTTCAGCAAACTGCACCAGTGCCTTGGTGAGCGAGCAGACACTTATAAAATGCAGTTGAGACGCAGGAGCCAGTGGTCTTGCAGAGATGTTTTGTTTATGGATGGAACAGACCGGAATCGGTTCCAACTCGGCGACAGATCGCGGCCCAGTGTGGAGCCAAAGGCTCTACCCCACTGCTTTTGGTTAAACATGTTGCAAACGGATTGCCCTCTCTCCGGCGCCGGAAGGATAATCCATTTGGAACTTGACCTTGCAGGAACCCCTATAGGTGCCATGTTCGTGGGAGGGAGGGTGCCATGTTTGACTGCAAACCATGTCCTGCATCAGGGCCAGCGTCCATCAGTTGTTTTTTGTTCTTCCTCTTTTCCGCGAGCTTGTTTCCTTCAGAAAACAAAAACTGGGCATCTTCCTGATCTGGAAATTTGCTCCGCTTTCAAAAGTCACTGGAGGCTGTCCTTGCAACGCTTTGTGATCTTTGTGCTTTCGTTTTAGGACCCCAGCGGGTACTGGTGGATCACAAGACCTGGACCTCAGTTTTGCTGCTTGACCAAATTCAGCGGGGTCTGACAAGCCGTGTGAGACGGGGGATGTGGAAAGCCTGTGATTTTGGATATGGGTCGGGTCAACTTAAACCAGGGGCGCGCAAGTTTCCATTTACCTGGGTTTCAGTTTGGGCACCCATTTTTGACCCACACCCATATGTGTCAGGTGGATAGAGGCGTCCTGTTGCCTCATTGCATGTTCTTCAAGCAAAAAGCGGCTGCAGCTACGGAGTGAAAGGCGAGACATGGCGAGATTCCTTGAGTTGTCATTGCTCAAAAAGTGTAGTTCGATCACAGTTGCGTAGGTGCAATGTGGGTCATGAAGGTCAATGTGTGACACCAAACCTTTATGCGATGTTTATACTTTGGTGTGTCAAGTGTGTTGGTGCTCATGAATCTACCAAGTTTCCAGCTCCGAAGTCCATTTGCAGCTGAGGCAGGGTTCGTCTATAGGCCCACCAGGACGTGCAGGGCCAGTGCAGGATACTTTGGCTGCAGCCCTGGTCGCTGGCTCGCGTGGGGCTCATGTTCGCAGCGGTTCCGAGGTGTCCGTGGAGGTGCGTGTTGAGAACACCGGCAACAGATCTGGAGCTGAGGCGCTGGCGGGAATGTAGCCCATGTTGGCATGACCCTTGGAACGGTTCAAGCAGGGAAGGGTGTTGCTTGTTGCAAAATGTGTGTATATGTGTGTTCAGGAATTGAGAAGCTTATCTTGCCTGAACACACAAGTTAGAACAAACTCCGCCCTTCCCTGGTTTACGGGAAACTTTTATTCTCAGTACTTGCCTTGTCGGCAAAAGACCCCATGCGGAGGTCGTGCAGGCCTACTTGCAGTTTCCGAAGGACCCGTTTCTGAGCTTGCACCGCATGCCTTGTAGCAGAGGGATTGCACGTGAGACCACGCATTATGTTATGTGTGCATACTAGATGATATCACAATGGTTTGCCTGCATGACATATCTCTTCATTGATGTTGGGCAAGCACCCAAATCGAAGATTAGAAGCATCCCTTGCGTGAGCGGCGTTCAGCGACTCAAGTATGCTTTGCTAAGATGTATCTTTAATCTTGATTCTAAACAAGTCCAAACCGGAGCTCGATCTTGAGCTCCAAGGCTCCAGTGTTGATTCCGCAACCATGCCGAGTGTGCTGCAAAACTTGAGCATTTAGATCGGAGCTCAGAGATGCACTGTGACACCTTGGATGGGACAAAGCGTCGAGCTCTGACGATTTTCGGTGCGCATGGAGCCTACCTCAAACTAGAGATGTTCGGAATCTTGTGCCTCCAAGCTCCGGTCCAAGCTGCGGGGACTGCAAGAAGAGGTTGAAGTCTCAAAGATCCAGAAGGGATAGATGAACAATTTCATGGAAGCGCCCAAGACGGGAGGGACAAAATGAAACTCTTGGGTTCAAGACAGGGACAAGCATAAAGCAACCCAAATCCCAGACAACTTTCTAGAAAAGAGAGGCACAGACCTCGAAGCCTAACGTCCTAATGATCAGCTTGCCCAAAGGCTTGGGAGTGAGTGACCGGTGGGTGGCTCGATGTGGCTCGTCTCTTTTTAAGGCTCCCCCCAAAGAATGGCGTGGGTTGTTCTTTTGGTTTCCCTAACCACGGAAGAAAGGGGTGCCCTCAAACAAAGACAAGACATTCAAAGCCCAGGGGGTGCAAAAGTTTGAAAGCAGGGGTGCCAATTCCGCAAGGGTGCAACCAAACATCTAACAGGTAAACTTGCTTGTGGAACAACTCCAAAAAAGCTCTGGAACACCACCCGGTCACCCCATCCCGCGAGACTCGTTCTTCTGTGTTTGTTTTCCCCGAGCACAAACTTGCAGCGTTGATGCCAAACGGACATGCGACTACTTTGTTGTGCTGTTTTGATGGCCACAGGTTTAGACAGGGTACACAAGTATCGACCGCTGTTCGTTTCACAGTGGAAGCCGGTGAGTTGCAAGTTGTGTAGCACAGACATGGCCATAGCATGTCATAGCAACGCGTTAGCCGCGACGTGCGAACTTCTCCAGGCTGGGCCTTGGGAACGGGTTTAAGGAGACTGCGAAACCTCGCTGGGTGAAGTGGTTGATTGTAACTTGCTGCGCTTGCAACGGGATCAGCCGGATCACCGAATGTTGCAAACTGCTTCCACAGAACCAGTGACTTACAGAGAGACCCGAAGTGACTGTCTTGTCTGAAAGCAACCAGGGGAATGGCCACTTCGCTTGGCGATCAATGGGGCCAGCCTTAGGAGGTGGGGTCGCCACACCTGCTTCGCGGCTTCAGGCAGGACTTGGGGGTTAAAGTCACTGGCCGAGAAGGAGGAACAAAGCATCGAGAGTCCTTGCAAGCCTGCACTGGCTTGTGCTGAAGCAAGTCCACCACTGTGATTGCAGGAGAAGCTATATATTGTATATGATTATGTAAAGCGAACATCAAGTTCTTCAAATCACTTTGCCACTTGCTTCCCCGCTCGTAAGCGGTTGGTCTTGGGTTGAAGGCGGAGAGAGAAGCGTCTCGGTAGTTTGGCTATATTCACTATTCCGACAGCGGGCAATCAATTCGGAACAAACTCCCCCGCTTCTACTGGCTGGATACTTATCGTCCTCATTCCTTGAGCTTGCCAATTGTTATGTCAGAAACGATGGACCGTCCTGCTGGTTTGATAGAGTCACTCACTTGCAAAATAGACTGCTGGGGCGGAGGTGTGAATTAATTCGAGCGTGCATCTTGCATGGGTCTACTGTGGACACAATGTATGATGCACAGTTGATTCCCAGGCAATCCGCGGCACGGGTGAGATTGTCTTGGGAATGTTTAATGGGTTTCAAGCAGAACTTTTGATTTGTGCAGCGCGCATGTCAATGTTTTGGCAGATAGGGGATCTTGAGGGACAAATATGAGCCCCCAACTTGAGGCTCTATCAGTCACGGCTGCTTTGCATGTTCGTCATGCCAGTGCGCATGTGGCAAGGAAAAATCTTGCCCCAGGCGTACCTCGGAGCTGCCGGCTGGCGGGTTAGATCCTCGATCGCCTTCCTGCCTCGCTGAGCATACCGTATCACAGAGCAGCTTCAGGTGCAGGTGCTCCTTACTGTTGTCGAGACTGCCGACTCATGGCCCCTTTCCGCCAAGCGAAACCACGCTCTGGCTTTCAAGAGCCTAGCCGACTAGCCTTTGCTGAAAGCTGACTTGGCCGTGACAAATTTGGCGCTCGAACTGCGAATAAGTTCTGCGCTCGCAAAACCAAGGCATCAGCTCCTTTGGTTTCACTTCAACACGCGTGACTTTGCCAGCTATATGCTTGGAGCCTCGGAGCCGAGCCGCTGGTGGTTTCGGTTCAATTTCTGCTCTTGTTTCGTGTTGTTGTTTGTTTTGGTGTTGTTTGTTTGCAGTTTTCTGTGTGTTGTGTTTCTTTGGTTTGCTTGTTTGGTTCTTTCGTTTGTTTCTTTCTTTTATGTGTTGCATTCCTTCCTTCCTTCCTTCATTCCTTCCTTTCTTTCTTTCTTTATTTCTTTATTTGTTTCTTTATTTGTTTCTTTCTTTATTTCTTTCTTTCTTTCTTTCTTTCTTTCTTTCTTTCTTTTTTTTTTTTTTTTTTTTTTTTTTATTTTTTTTCATTTTTATTTCTTTCTTTATTTCTTTCTTTCTTTCTTTCTTTCTTTCTTTCTTTCTTTCTTTCTTTCTTTCTTTCTTTTATTTCTTTCTTTCTTTCCTTTCTTTCTTTCTTTTTGTCTTTCTTTTTGTCTTTCTTTTTTCTTTCTTTTTTCTTTCTTTATTTCTTTCTTTCTTTCCTTTCTACTCTCGGTCCGTTGGTGTGGGGCCTCTCTAGAGTGGTGGGACGAACAGTTGTCGGGTAACATCGTGATGTGGAGTGACAACTGGGAGGGAAAGCACTTCTGTAGCTTGTCGTGCCAGATTCTTAAGGCCCACGGCCGCCCAGACACCGTACAGCACAAGCGAGCCCACCAGATGGACTTGTGTTTCTGTGCTGTGGCATCCTAGGGTGCGCAAAGCAAGCATGCCGGGCTTCGACCAAACACGCCAAAGACAAGACAGAAAAAGATGGGACAGCACTGCAGCTTTGCAGCGCTGCAGAGTGCTGGGGCAAACATTTCCACCGTTTGTGTCTCTGTTCCTCAGTTTCTTTTTTTGAGCCCAGGCCGTGCTACGGCCCGGATCTGCGGTTCAGTTGACCCCAAGCCTAAAAGCGTCAACTCAGTTGACGGTAAGCAAAGCTTACTCCCTAGCATAAGTGACGTAAGTGGGGGCTTCAGCGTTTGTATGCTTGCTTTGATTCTTTGACTTTGCCATTCAGAGAGCATTCAAGCACGAAAATTCTTAATCCCACCCCGGGTAATTGCAAAGCTGTGTTTCGCCCACTAATGTTCGCTGGGTTATATAATCTGCGTTGAGTCAATGTAGTTCTGTGCGTTTTACTTTGCTCATCGTCCTTCTGGGGCTATGATTTCAACCAAGTCATTGCAGGTGATTGTTGCAATTCAATCTTGAAAGGTCCTGTGGATCAGAGCATGAGGTTGAGGTAAACTGATGTCTCGCAGAGCCCTAGCCTGGGAATGCAGGAGGCAAACGCTCGACTGTCGTCTTTTTTTGAGAGGGAGATGGGACACACAGCGTGCCTTAGGCGGGGAGCATGGCGAGTGCAGGACTGCGCCAGTGAAGCTGTTAGCAGAATCCAAATTTGTTCTGCGACAGTCGCTCCTGGCCTGCTGGGTTACATATCGCCACATGGTCCGTTCAGGGTTCCCGCGCGGGGCGTTCTGATATCTCTGAGATGCTGCAGATCGTTAGACTCATCGAGATTGCATGAGTTTGCCTGTTTCGGTTGACCAACACCTAGACTCTGGGTCGTCGGTATGTTTGGCGCGCTTGACTTGTTTCCATTTTGTTGTTGTGCCTTCAATGTTCTTTGTATTCATGACTATGAATATATTCGTGAATAAAGAAACTTAAAGAAACTAAACAACAAGTAGCTAGCCAAATAAGTAAATTAATTAGTACTTATATATATATACATATATATATATATATGCTGTTATTTTCACGCTCCGCGCACCGCGCACCGGCCTTCGCATGCCAGGGAAAGTGTTTCTTCGAAGAAGAAAGACAAGGAAAAAAGAAGAGGACAAACAAAACAAACAACGGAGCCATGCGCAATGGATGGTCGATGGATGGATGAATGGATGGATGGATGGATGGATGGGTGGGTGGGTGGGTGGGTGGGTGGGTGGATCGGTGGATCGATGGATCGATGGATCGATGGATCGATGGATGGATCGATGGATCGATGGATGGATCGATGGATCGATGGATCGATGGATCGATGGATCGATGGATCGATGGATCGATGGATAATGGACAGGGCATTGTGTTCAACGGACAGGGCGCCGCGCTAAAGTTGGGGACAGTGTGTAAAAGGCATGTGAGTTTATGGTTTTGATGGTGGAGGCCTAGATTTTAACGAACAAAAGTGTCTAGTTACACAGTCCATATCTTTCCATCTGCAATCGGGTAGTCGGTAACAATACGGGGCTCACTTCAATCACGTGCTTGATGGATATTTGCCCACGTGCTTTGCTATGTTGTTTGGATGCGCGGCTGGCTTGGCAGGCAAAAGCATGGCATGATGTCTAACGAAGTAGCTTCTGAGGCAGATGTGTGCGTTTGTGCGCGTTATGCATGGGTCTATTTTCCCGTGAGATGCACCATGCTAGCTTGCTTTGGCAAAACACCGGCGGCATGAGCTTCGACAGTCCGTATCCCGTCAGGCCCTGTACGGACACAGACTTGCAAAGGGCTCAAAACCAAGCGACGAGAACGATGGCACAAAGACAAGGACCAAGCTCCAAAGCGCATGTCAACTTGCAGTTCTCGCCATTCAGATGAAAAGTTGGAACAGGGGCCGCTATACCTCGTTACACACCTCATTACAATTAGCAGCTACATACCTCGTTACAGACCCAACCCCAGCCCCGGCCAGCGCGCCTTTAGTTTTGCAGCAGCTTGGCTTGCGTTGAATAGCTGCAATCACAGTGGAGCTGCGGAGGCGCTCTTTGCGTACTGCGCTTTGCTTCGCCTCGTTACAGGCCTCGGTACATAGACGTTACATACCTCGTCACAGACCCAACCCTAGCTCGGGCCAGACACCCGCCTTTTGCCGTGCTTGGCTGCGATCAAGCTGGGGCGGCGAAGGCGCGCTTTTGCCTACTGCGCTGGGCCAGCGACCCAACCCCAGCCCAGGCCAGTGACCCCCCTTTTTGCAGCAGCTTGGCTTGGCGGCCGCAGTTGCAAACTTCAAGCTGGAGCTGCGGGGGCGTGCTTTGCTGCGCAAAAAGGACCTCCGTTACAGACCTCCGCAGCAAGATTCGTGGCGCGCCGTCGCGCGTCACATAACCTCAAAAAAACAGCCATATTTGCACACACATATAGATAGAGAGATGTGCTCACAGCCCCTTGGTTTTTGGATCGATCCTAGAGCTCACTTCGCTGCAGTGCCGCTTGACCTGTTGCGTCTTAGGCGGCGCAGCCGAGACAGACACTTGCCGAAGCCAAAGATCGACCCGAGCTCCTTCAATGCCCCCCGCCTTCCTGAAAGGGGGGTCTGGCAGGCGCAGGTGGCAGAGGGTGGCGTGGTCCAACGCATTCCGACGGCGCCAACTGCGGCCGAGCCGCAGCGCTTGCTCTGCCGCCGCGGTAGCAAAGACGTGGCTTGGTGTTGCGGCTCGGCTCGATGACCGACCGTGGCCTTACCAGACTCACGTCGGAGGCTACAGCCATTCCGCAGACCCGCGCGGCCTCCGAGAGCACCGACCGTCAGGGCAACGATACCTGCCGCGCAGCCTCTTTAAATCCTTGCAGATGAGAAAGGGGCTTGACCATGGCCGTGGAGCCAGGCAGCGCGCAGGAGGGCGTGTTCGTTGGTTCGCATTGGGGTGGTGCAGCTAGTCGCCAGGAATTTGGGTTGTTCAAAAGCAGGCGGGTTCCGTTTTGACGGCCCGAACCATAGCACAAAGACACTGTTCTTCTTTTGAACAAAAACCATGGCGATTTTAAAGGGCTCCAAAGCTCCTTCACAATTTCGTGTTTTCGGCGGTTCTCGGTTGTGCTCGGCTGCATTTGGCCGTTCAGCTGTGCTACATTTGAAGTCGAAAAAAAGGGAACGCTTGCAGCAAGAAGTATCTGGGAGTCTGCGCAGCGCATCAGAGGATGGGGCGGGGCACCGCCCCGTTGTTCGCGTGCCACTGTGCAGGCAACACATCCGAGACCAGCAGCGCTGGCTTCAAACGCACGGGGCCTGCTGTGCTGGCTTTAATGGGAGGGTTAGGCAAGATCGCATCGTAGCATCCTTTGCACTACCAATGCTGCCTAGCGCCACAATTGAAATGTAGAGAAGAAAGAGATGATGATGACCGGCATGATGATGATGATAAGGGTGATGACGATGACCGCCATGACGATGATACGGGTGATGACGACGACCGTGATGATGAGATGATGACGGCGATGATAACTATCATCATAGCACCCTTTGCATTGCCAATGCTGCCCCGTAAGAGATGATGATGGGCGTTCAGATACTGACGATAAGGATGAGGACTGTCAGAACAACTCGTCGTATCCTGCGCACTACCAATGCTGCCTAACGCCACACTTGAAATTTAGAGAAGTGACAATCATGGTGATGAAAGGTGGTGATGAGATGATGATGCTCGCGCTGATAATGTAAGGAAGAAGACTGTGATGATAACTATCATCGTAGGTTTCTCTGCAAAAGCCAACGGTGTGTAACGCCACACTTGTAAAGAAGAAAGAGATGATGATGACCGCCATGATGATGAAGGGTCATGATGACCATCATGATGATGATAAGGGTAATGATGATGACAATCGTGCTGATGATGATGATGATAAGGGCAATGACTGCGATGACATTCATCATGATGGTGTTAAGCATCCTCTGAGTTAGCGGCGCTGCCTAAGAACAGATGATGATGATCATGCTGGTGACAACTATCATCGTAGCACCCTCTGCCTTACCAATGCTCCCTAACGCCACACATGATTTTTTTTAGAAGAAAGGAGTGATTATGACCGTCATGATGATGATACGGGTGAGGATGATGACAAGCATGATGATGATGAGAAGGGTGACGACTGTGATGACAATCATCATTTGGGGGAGACGTAACTAGCGTTGTAGCCTCCTGTGCATTACCAATGTTGCCTAACGACACACTTGAAGTTTATAGAGGAGAGAGATGATGATGACCATCACGATGATGAAGAGTGATGGCGACCATCATGATGATGATGACAATCATGATGATGGTGATGACTGTGACGACAATCATCATGATGGTGATATGGATGACGACTGCGATGATAACTATGATCGTAGCACCCTCTGCGTTGCCAATGCTGCATAAATCATACCAATGCTGCCTAACGCCACACCTGAAAGGTGTAGCAGAAAGAGGTGATTGATGACCGCCATGAGGGTGGTAAAGGTGATGGCGAGGACTACGGGGAGGATAAGGATGATGACTGTGATGATGGTAAGGATGAAGACTGTGACAACAACTCTCGTCGTAACACCCTCTGCGTTACCAATGCTGCCTCAGAAGAGATGACGATGATGATCGTGAGGACAAGGAAGGTAAACATGAGGACTTTCATGAGAACTAGCACGTAGCCCTCTGCATTACCAATGGTGCCTTGGTGCGATGATGATGACAATCATGATGACGATGAGAAGGGTAATTGGAGATGATGATGATCATGCTGATTATGACGATGAGGAAGAGAGCTGTTCACTATCGTCGTAGCGCCCTCTGCGTTACCCATGCCACCGAACGCCACACTTGAAAGGTATAGCAGAAAGAGATGATGACGACCACCATGATGATGATGATAATCAGCGTGATGATGACCGCCATTGACAAAGTTCATGATGGTGATTCATGATGATGATGATGATCATGATGATCAGGATGATGACTGTGATGATGATAAGGATGAAGACTGTGACGACAACTATCTTCGTAGCGTCCTCTGCATTACCAATAGTGCCTTAGGCCACAGTTGGAAGAAAGAAACGATGATGACATCATGCTGAAGATGATCAGGGTAATGGTGCCCTCCATGCTGACGATGCCAAGGGGGATGATGATGGCAATCATGAACAAGGGTGATACTGGGATGACGATCATCATGAGGTTGATAAGGATGATGACTGTGTTGATAACTATCATCGTAGCATCCTCTGCATTACCCATCCAGCCTTTTCCCAGCTGCTCTTGTGGCGCGTTTCTGAGACAGTGAGCCGTGTGTTGTCAGACGAAGCCACACGTTGGCTAACGGTAAATAGGACGTAACATACTGCGCGGGAGCAAAACAAAATGAGTGAGCCTAACCTTGAATCTTTCCTGACCCTTGTCATCTTGCCGGGCCGCTACTCGCTCCCATCATCATGATGATGATTAGCTATCATCATAGCATCCTCTGCGTCACCAATGGTGCCTAACGCCACGCTTGGAGTGTGAAGAAGAATAACAATAAGTAAGAGAGGGCGACAGACAAGTGCCTAACACCACCCTCTGTTGGTACAACCCATGGGGAGTGAAGAAGAAGCCTGACAGGTTTTACGCGTCAGCGAATCACTTCTCGAATTGTTTGGCAGCGGACGATCATGATAACCACAACAATGATGACGACATCTGGGCCCTTGCATTGCAAGTCGGGTCTTGACTTGGTTGATGATGATGGTGATGGTGATGACTATGATCCTAGCACGCCTTGCATCGCAAGTGGCGCAATCAAACGATGATGATAACTACAATGATGATGGTAACTATGGTGATGATGATGATGATGATGGTGATGATGATGAATGACATTCACGACGCATTGCAAGCCGCGCCTGATATCGATTTCTTACACATCTTGCGGAATTTGAAGTTATGTTGATGATGATAACGATTGTGAGGACCCCAGCAGGAATGATTATAATTATGACCACCAACCTTCCCGTGCGCCTTGCCCTTGCAGACCAGGGGTCGGCGGATTAGTGCTGTCATTGTTAGCATTATTGTCATTATAATTATTGTTATTATTATCAGCCCTCCCTACTTTCTACTTTTATTGTCGTTTTCATGCCACAGATCCTCCCGCCTGGCAGCCTGCCAACAGGACGAAGTCTTTCTTCACCTTGGCTCCAGCAGCATGAAACTCAACGCTCCGGTGGTGCTGCCACTCGCATTGCAATCCGGGCTCAGGGGGAAGACTGGTCACGTGCTTAATGCGACCCATGTGACAAGCCATGGGGAGGAACCCAAATAGGCCCTAACGACCTTAATCCCCAGCCCCATGGGACAAAACATCTGAAGGGTGCGGATGTGGGCTATATCACAAGATCAGCAACGTTCAGTGTTGGCAGGGTGCACCTGTTTCACAGCCGAACTCTTTCGGGGTTGCTCTCATGTCAAGCACTTGAACGCAAAGATGATGTGAGCCGCAGTCGACAAATATTTAGAATATATATATATATATATATATATGTTTTTTCCCGCTGCTCATAAGAGTGCGCTGACGAACAGAATGCTTGAAGATAGTCATGACACTATCTTCTTTGGATTGAGGAGATATACCAAATTCGGGCTGCTCATAGTGGGCTTGCAAACACGATAGTCTGTGACTGTTCTTGCCTTATTCAGTATAATATTTGTCATCCATGGTGTGGAAGGAACTATCGAGAGGCTTGCCCGGCTTCCTTGAAGTGTGTTGGCAGTAGGTGTTTTCGTGTCTCAAGCTGTTTCTTTTTGGAACGACTTACTGATTGGTGGGCCAGCCACAAATTCGATCCTGCTGTTGATTTGAGACCTCCCTTCCAGCAACCACTCGATGTTGGGAGAGTAAACTTTCAGCTCTCAATGGTCTAGAAATGTTGATTTCCATCGCATGGCACATGCTGCGTACCTGAAGTGGGTTCTTTAGTTCACGTGGCATGAGGCCAGTGAGAGTGCTCTTTGCATTGTACTTGTTGAGTATTGCTGCCGCATGGGCCTCCCTTGCATAAGCCCCGCAAGCTTTGGTTTTGCCGGTGACCGTCAAGCTGCCCAACTCAATCAAGAGATGCCGCTACGCGACTGGAGTATGAGCGATGGCTTTGCCCCGTCTAAGGAACCCATGGGTCACAGGCGTTGGGCCGGCCGGTGGTTTCTTCGTACCTGCGTGCTTGAGCGCTTCACCAGATCCTTCTTGGGTTGACATCGGAAGTCTCGCACAGATAATTTCCGGGCCGTCTAGAGCCACAATTCTGTTCACAGCCTTACCGTGGAATTTTGTCGGGGGTACACCTCCCCTCACTGAAAATCCTTGGCCCTCAGGATGTTGCGCCGCACCCGTAGGTTTCACATCATACAACTTGTTGAGCGTTATCAAGAAATGGAAGGGGCCAACTAGCTGCATCCTGTACATCCACCTTGCGTGCCCTCAAGCTTCCGGGTGTTCTTGCACATGCTTTGCGAAGCTTGGGTTTCCTGGCAACAGCCCAACGTGCAATCTGGCATGTGACGCTCAACCATTGCGCTCAACCGTGGGACAAGCGCTCAGATGTTGCTGAGCTCACTCGAATCCAGCGCTGGGAATGGCGTTGTCGCCTTTGCCAGGCGACGGCACGGTATCTACCACACAGGCAGAGGCCAGATTCTTTTCTGGTCGACGGTTGCAGCGGAGGTCTGATGTGCATGCCTATGATAAGGAGTACTTATCAACCAAATATAAAATTGAGCACGTGGAGTGACACTTGCGTTTGGTGGGGCAGACTCTTGGAAAGAGTCAACGGGCAGCAAGGTGGCAGCAAGACTATTTAGGAGTTTGTTGGGCTCTTGTTGTAATTTTGCTGGCAACAACGATTAGCTCACAGAAACATGGTCTTTGTGGGGACCTTCCATCAAGAAACTCAGCAACACACACCAGTGTCAAGCTTGTTTATGACACAAGCCCGTGCGTCAGGCCGCGGTCATACCAACAGGCGGGCATTGGCATTGCTTGGTTTTACAGGGATGTGATATGCTGCAACCTTGCCGCCGTTTAGCCGATCAATGTGAAGCTGCGTAGTCTTCAGCATAGAGAGCTGCTTTCATACGCTTTCAGTACTGGTATATTGGGGCAAAGTAAGAAGCCACATCAATCATTGTGCCAGGCATGCCTTCGGTGACAGAAGAGCCAATGAAGGAACACGGTGATGGGTCGCAGGCAGGACATCGGTTTCGCACAAGCCGGCAAACAACCCAACACCGGAAAGTCGTGTTTGTTCCTTGTTTGGGGCCGTTGCTTGTGTCACTGTTTTGTGGGCAGGTTTTGTTTTTGTAAAAAACGCGTTGCCACACTCCACTTGAAGGCTTCATCAGGCATAATTTTCAGCTGAGCTTGCGACTGGACCTTGAAGACTTTAGGATCTCTTGCTGGCATTGAGCCGCAAGCCACTCCGTTGATGACAACTTTAGACGCAGAGATACACAGGCGCACGGACAGACTGACACAGACACGTACACACACACACACCCCACACACAAACACGCACCCCGCACCCCGCCCGCATGCACGCCCGCCCGCCCACCCACCCACCAAGGCACGCAAGCACGCTCGTGCGCACGCGCGCAGACGCAGATGCACACGCAGACAAAGACACATACACACACACAGCCACCCACGGACACGCTGCGACACAAACAGACACGCACACAAGCACTTCGGCACGCACACACACACAGGCGCAGACACATAGAGACACATGCGCACACACACACACACGCAGAGACGCGCACACACGGAGACACTCACAGAAACACACAGAGCCACATACGCAGACAGACACACACGCGCACGTAGCACAGACACTCCAGCACGCACAAAGACACACACACACACACTTGCAAGCACAGACAGGCGGGCAGGCAGGCAGGCAGGCTGGCAGGCAGGCAGCCGTTCGTGTAGATTTATTGTTGTCCATTCTATTTCCGTGACGTCCCCTGGAAGCATTTAGATCGACTTGTTACAGGACCTACTGCCTCGCGTGGCTGACCATACTGCCAAAGTTGCAGAGGCGCCACTCAGTGTTCCATGCAAAGCTTGGCTCCTGCGTTGCGGAAGAGTTGTTCGTAGTATCATTGATCAGTTCTCCAAAAAAGCCAGACGCACCACTAGTGGGCAATCAGGGATTTCAGACGAGGCTGCGCTACTGGCTCAGCTTCTTGCGGCGGAGCGTGTAGCAACCGCAAGGGTCACGTTGCCTTGCCTGGAAGGTCAGCAGCACTCCAGGCTGGGAGTTTGTCGATTTTTTTGGGGAGCGCAGAGTAGGTGTTTTGCCGTCAATGATCCGACGGGAGTCCTGGATGAGGTTGTGACGTTCATGCTAAAAACGCTTCATGGGTTGCCAATGACCAGAATCATCTAAGATTTGGATGGATTTGGGTATGGGTCAAAATAAGGCCACCAGAAGACCGCAGGATTTAGTCTTTGGTTCCATTTACCGGGGTTCCATTTTGGGTACGAATTTCTGACCCACACCCATTTCGTGCAACGTGTGCGAGGGCCAACTCGGCCAGCGATGCCAGGGCTCCGCGGCAAAGAATCTTTGGCCACGCCGGCACCAGCGCTACGCTCAGATGGGACTTGCTCGATTCCGCATCAGTCTATATACCTGCTTAGATGGGGGGCTTTGCCAAGGCCACGCTTCTTGCGCCATCATTTTTAGAATCGTAGAGGCCGGCCAACAAATGAAGCATGTTTGAAGCTGGGCGAATACATTAGCGCCACGCTTGCTTCAAAGCACAGGGCTTCATCAATTGATGCTTCCTGCCAAATGCAAGTCGGTATCACACAACTTCGGCCACGCTTCAAGTTTGCTAGTTTTGTCGGTCAAGAATGCTGAACCCTGTTGGGACACTCGTCTTGACACCAAGTAGGGGTCCTGAGGCCTTGTTGGTCACCTTTGATTGCAGTCAGATTTGAACACGTCGACAGTCCAACAGGTCTGAAACTGAACACGCATCACATTTTGGGAGAGTCCGCAAGGAACATGCTTTTCAATGCCACAAGCCACTGGCGTTCTTTACGCGAAAACAACATGGCAACTCATTGCAAACCAGTGCCCAGGAGCCTCGGCCTACGATTCCCTCGCACCAGGCGCGCAAGCAAGGTGTGAAGCTCGCGTTGCGGTCAGATTGCTCGTGCTCTCGATGAAGAACACCCACGCAGCACTCTGAAGAGCTGGCTGGCAGATGTTCTTTGCTAGTTGTTCGGTTTCCTG